GAGACCGTATTTCTCCAATAGCTGTGAGACGTGGTGCAAGTATTCAGAGCCATTTTATGGACCCACAAAGATAAGAGCATTGTCAAGGAGGAAGAGAGTTAAAAACCCTGCAATATTTTACAAGAAAAAGAAAGCATTGCACAATGTTAATGCATGTCTACTTGACTCTGTACCACAAGTGGTTACACAGTGACCCTGAAGATTACTTAAGATGGGGAGCAGAACAACATTACACAGCTTTAGGATCTCCTCACAGGACAGATAACTCAGATAAGCACACTGAGAAATTCTGGCCCTGTGGCAGCTACAAGAGGTTTTGCCACCGGTATTTAAGAAAACATATTTTCATCTCTGGTATTTACTTCATAAGAGTCTCACTGGTTTACATGCTTTCATTATAGAACTGTGGATTACGAAGAAATATGTGAAGCTTTCAAGTTTGGTCACAGAAGGAAAAAAAGCTTGTCTCTGTTAGTGACAGATTTAGGCAGGAAGGTGAAACTTCCAGAAAAACACACATTACAGTCACAAAAGCCTATTTCTTAATAGTCACTTCATCTAAATGAGCCTACAGGCAGTGTGGTTCTCCTGGGAATTTCCATGATCTTGCTATCCCAAGGAGCTTGGTAGCCATCTCCTTTCAAAATCAAAATTCAAGGAAAAAGGCAAGAGTCCCAGTCTGAGACATTTGACCCCAGTACCAGCAAAGTCAAGGTCAAAGTAAGTCGTGGTCACTCTCTCTAAGGCATTGCTGGATTCACAGGAGCGAGGAGTGGAGTGACCTGCCTTTGGGATGGGGAGCTCACAGGTGTACAACTGCTCTGAGGGGGATCCAAATCTCAATTCCCTCCCCAGTAAGATGCATCCCAGCTTCTGCTGAGATGGTCCCCACCCAGATTCACATCCTGATGAACTCACACTGTGAAGCAGAAAAAAGATTTACTAGTCAAGAAAGACAAAGGAACAGAAAGCATCTCTTCAGCTTAATAGTTGAAATATTCAGTTGGGAAGGTGAAGTCCTGCTTTTGATCCTGACACTATGTCTGTATTAACTCAGTTACTCATTTCATGAACAGCAGGAACAAATGCCCAAGTTCTCTCCCCTCCCAGGCACTTGCTTTAGGTTGGAAAAAATTCATATTTCAACATTTTTTTCAGATGAACAGCTACAAAAGTAACAAAAATTGTGGGTGCATTACCTTAAAGTGAAAACCTCAAAGAAATATTGCAAGTGAGAACATTTTTATCATTAGCTACCAGGAGGAAGGGACACAAATAATAATGCTCTGAATTAAGGCCTTTCTTCTACTATTGTTTGTTTGGCAAATGTTGCAATTCTAGTTCTTCACTCCTTTTGCAAACACAAGTGATATCTATAAATACTTTTTACTGATCAACAAACAGAAGCCAATGCAAAAGGCACTTCTATAGCACCTTTCATCCAAAATCTCACTGTACTCTACAAATAGCAATTCAACCTCATAACACAACAACCTCCTCCCATGTGCTAACAGCTCCTTTTACAGCAGGTGAAACCAAGGCAGAGGGAAGTTGAGTCATGTACCTAAGGTCACGTAATAAATGCATCCTCTAACTCCAAAACATCTCTTTGGATGTTTAAAGTCCATGAAATATTTATAGGGTCTGCTTAAGAAGAAAAACAAACTCCCTCAGATTCGCAGTTGATTTTTAAAGTAGTTGGCATCAGGATACTATTATTATACTTTTCTTGGTAAAACATTTGTTACAACACCACGCTCAGTATTACTCTTCTGAATATTTTGTGCTTTGAAAATGAGAAATATAAAAACCTGTTTCTGCACTAGTAGCATCAGGTCCCTCACACTGAGGCACAGCACACTGCTATTATAAAACCTGTGATGTAGTCAGGATGGAAGAATGAGGACTGCTATAAGACTTGCCAAAAGCCCTTTGGAACAACTCAACAATTTGGTTTGATCAATGCTGGTTTTGCTACAGTGGTATAGTCCCCCATCTATGTGCAAGCTGAAAGAAAACAGTTTTGGGGAGGCTACAACTTTAGACAGAGGTTGGCTTCCACTGCTAGCATTGCCTGGGCAAATGTCAAATTCTCAGGCAAAACCCTGCAAACCATTATTTGATGAGGACAAACACAAAAAGCAGCTCTCCCACACTGGCAGTGCCACATCAAACCCATGCAATCAGCCCTTGGTCATCTGTTTGCCACATTTCTGCTTGACTTTGCTGATGAGGATTTCCAGATCCAATCCTGGCGTGTTCTCTTCAGCCTGGTTTGCAGACAATAGTTGGGAAGTCCCCAGAAAGGGACTATATAGTCCCTAGGGGCTATATTGGTTAAAATAACTTTAATGTACCCACATTTACAGAATTAATCATTTCACTTTCTTTATGATCTTCCATAAGAAACAAAGAGTTGAAAATTTTACATAATAACATGGCAATATACACAAGAGCAAAATTAATTTAGATGTGTCACAGGCACAGCCCTTGTGAGGCTGATTTTTTCCTCCCTTGGTTTTACCACTGGGGGTGTTCTTTATATGCAGCAGGAATACAATTGTCTCTTCTGCAGGACATCAGCCTTGATGTGACTGGGGAGCTGAGTACCATGTCTAATGCAAGGACCAAAATTCAGAGACCCAGAACCATTGCTGGCAACGAGAAAAGGTCCAGGGGAGGAAAAATTAAAAGAAACTGAGGAAATGGCTTGAGCTTGCCTTTTTAATTTAGCCATGCAAATGAGAAGAACAGCATAAAAAATCAGGCAATGCAAATATCTGCAATTTTTGGTCATTATTTACATAACTTAATCACTACTGCTACTCTCTAAACAGAAGCCATTATTTACCTCGTAACTGATTAAAGATCTCGGCTGTGTAAGACAAACTGCTGCAGCATAACTAAGATAAAACTACAAATTAAAAGTACAAATTCACAAATTTAATCTTATGTGAGATTAGCTTGGTTTTTAATTTTTGTATGCAAATTAAGCTATCTAAATGAGAAACAGGCATACAAATGTATCTATATTAAAAGCTGGACATAATTAATTGTGCAGAATTTAAATTATATAAACTAGTGTGACTTTTCATACGTAGACAAAGTCTAAGTCATATGACAGAGAAATCTGCACCCCTAACCAGCTCACTGGCAGTGCCTTTGATGTAAAAATATACAAAAATAAATACTTGTGTGAATATTCACAATGCCTTTTCTGCAACCATTTTTCTCAATTATTGATAACAGATTAATGAGAAATTAGCAATGCCAACCCATTTCCCTCCCATTTTTATTCAACCTGTGGTTCTGTGGCATTCAGTGAATATTAACAAAGTGTTTAAAGCAGAACACACCTGTATGCCATAGAAAAACATTCACTCCACTATTAAAAAAGGAAACAGATGGAAGGGGGCAAAACACACAAAGTCCACCTTTACAGCACAGCCAAGAGCAATTTCAGTTCATTGAAGAAACACCTCTTTAATGACGAAATTAAGGATTTAAGAGCAAAGTCCAGTTGCACAGTCATCATACAAAAATTGTCATGAGATGATAAATAGCACCTGCTTTTGGTAATACTCCTCCCTGTTGAGGGGCCAGGACAAGGAGGAGGCAGAACTGAAACCTGAGCTTGAAGATTAATCTGGTGCTCATGAGAATTTCCCCTCCTTGCATAAAGATCTAGTTTAGAACTAGAGAGAAGGAGAAAATTCAAAGTGCAACAAAAGCCTCCTAGGAATACTGGGGAGAGAAAAAAAAGAGGGAAGCTAAACAAAAAACAGTGCAGGGAATTTAAAACCTACTCATGAAGGCAATAGGAGCTGAGCTGTACAGACAGCTACATGTACAAGACTTCTGCAGAGAAGCCTTACATGGCATAGCTTCAAGGAAAATGATGGATCTACCAGGGCACAGCAGAAGTCAAATCCAGGCTGACACAATCAGATATTCAAAGCACAAAGCACACCACTGCTGATTAACTCAGCACCGTGCGAGTCGATCCACGCATTTGGCACTATCTTAAATAAACATCTAAATTTTTCAAGGGCGAAAATAAACCCTCTTTACATAAAAGGCAAGATCTTAAAAAATGAAATTCAGTTAATCTCCCCTTAAACCCTTGAAACTCGGTCCCAAAACTGAAATGAGTTGCTGGACTGCTGCAGAATACCTTAAGCTTCCTGAGCAGGGTTCATACTTTCAAGCAAGGCCAAACAAATGCCAGCAATAACAACAATCAAACTTGAGCGAATGCGTGCACTGGAAGACACTTGTCTAGGAAATTGCAGAGGGCAAAATCCTGATTTGAGAACTGCAATGCAGTATTTGTTGGCAGGGCTGTCGCTGTATTTCTTAGTGGCACTGACCCCAGAAAATGATGTCAGAACCTGGAATTTAGGATTTTCATGGTCTGTAAAATTACAGGGTAAATACCCAACCTTCAACAACCCAAAGTATTTTCAGCCTCATAAAGCAGTAGTGACCTTCCAATCATTTATAAGAACAGATCCCATTCTTAATTTTGCCCTAAGGCATTATTCAACAAAAACAGGTCCCCCTCATCACACAGTACCAGACCTGAAACCTGGCTTGGTTAAACCCCCACATGACCCTTTGCATTTAAAGGGACGTGCTCTCATACAACAATGCAACTCAAGATGCCGCAATGCTTCCAAGAAAGCCTGTGTACTCCCGTCCACTTCCCGAATTTCCTATGCCATAGGACCTCTTCCCATAATGTAAACATCAGCACAGCCTGTGTGTTTTGGGGCAGAGACAGTCTTTTGTTACAGGGCAACAGGGTTTTGTCTGCATATATGAAAAGCCTTAATAATGGAGGGCTGGGAGGCGGCATGACTTTCTCCTCCTGATGTACCTGCAACTGTCCTGATCTGTAGATGGGATTGGGCATGACCTACTGTAAACTGTCCAACGTTTGTATTGTGTCCAACTGATCTCTGGGGTTTTTTGTCTCTCCCCTTTCTCAACCCAAACAGCTGACAAAGTCAACGACGACTTCTACACCAAGCGCCGCCACCTGGCCGAGCTGGCTGCCAAGGGGAGCCTGCCCCTGCACCCCGTGCGCCTGGACGACGAGCGGGCGTACACCATCGACAGCGGGCTCACCAGGCAGAACGGGCAGAAGTCCAGGATGGGCAAGATACACACGCACCCGCTGGGCTACAATTCCCACTACAAGACCTGGGATCCCACCGACCACTCCCTGAGGCGGCAAGTGTACGCAAACAAGGGCAAGCACGGCATGGGAGACCCGACGTTAAGTGACCCACTGACTACCCGGAGCCAGCACTACTTGGGCCCACAGCCATACTTCATAACCAACAGCAAGACAGAAGTAACTGTTTGAGTTTGTTTTCTTTCTTTCTTTTCTTTTTTCTTTTTCTTTCTTTTTTTAATGAAATCCTTTAAAAAACACACGCAAATACACACACACACACGACGCAAACACTCAACCGGAAGGCAAAAAAAAGAAATTTAAAAATATAAAATTTAAAAAAAAGAAAATGAAAAAAAAAAAAGGAAAACGGAAGGAAGGAACTTCCACCTGGACACTCTTGGTATCCAGCCAACGGTAGGCCGAAGAGTGGGTTAATACCATTCAGCAATACACACTGAAGGTTGAATTATAAACTCCATTTGTATTTCACAATGGAACACAAACCCTTGTGACTAAATTTTTTTACTTGAAACTAAAATCCATGATGAGAAGTAGCACAATCTAGAGAAACTTAATGTCTGCTTAAACATTTACACTATGTTCCTGCCTTGAGACAGAGGAAGAGAGAGAGAACAATATACTGTATTATATCATTTCAGAGAGGAATTTTGTACAAAACCTATTAATAATCCCTAGACCTGTGAAAAACCAAGAGCAAACATCTTGGTACAATCCCTAACATCTATTATTGTACTTTCACACCATCCTATAGAGAACGCAAAAAAATATATATACAATAAGGGACAAAGACACTTTCACAAGGAATTTATGAAGACTGTTATGATTAAGAGCATATGGGACCTTTGTGGCTGGTAGAGAATTCTGCAGGATGATAACAAACAGCAGAAGATTTCATTTCAGTTTACTTCGTTTGATTTGAAATTTTTGGGAACCTCCAAAATAAGAAGAGACATATCATATGACACAGAAAGCTGCTGGGGGAATAAGGGCATCAGGATATTCCCTCTCAGTCCTCCTGTTTTCGGGCAGATGGTAACAAGTCTCACTTTGCAGACTGTCAGGATTTTTTCTTCACCTAAATGTTTTGCCTATCTTCAACTGCTTCAGACTGAAACTAAGCGTGGGTGGTGCCTTTACTGTATTACTATTGTTCAATGACAGTCTTGTTCTTCAAAGTGACCCCTCTGTTCCTTTAAGCTATTTCCTCATGTTTGGCTAAGGATGACAAGGGTTCTGCCCTGCTCAGCCTCCCCTGTTTGTCCCGAAGGGAAACTGGACTACATCTCCATGCAGTGGTTGCACAGTCAAGACTATTTAGTTGGCCCCTTCATTTTCCCAATTTAAACTTTTTCCCTCTAGTCTCTCATTCTGTATTTGCTTTTAGCCATGGTAGTTCTTTGTAGTTCAACTAAATGTTCTATGGTATATTGTCTCTATCGTTTGGCTTTCTATAGTGGCGTTCCCTCTTGGTGGACTATTTGGTGGAAGAGTCTGATGGTCTTGCCTCAAACGTCAAAGAGATCTGGGTTTAAACTAAACAAACAATTGGACTCATGGTCTTGACTGTGGCTCTGATGAGCAGGATGCCTTGTTCATATGAGTAAAACCACTCCTGAATTAGGCACTGGTAGAAAACTCGCAGTCCTGGCCCTGTAAAAGCTTTGGCACATCCACAAAGAGACAAACAGAGTTGGGATGGGATGGCAGGCAACACATTCAGTGTTTCACTTAAATTCCTGCCCTTCCTCCAAAACGAGTCATTTGGCTAAATCCTAACTAGCTGTCTTACTACAGTTGCATTCTCACCAGCTGTCAGTTCTTCAGGAGATTCGTTTTGGAAGAGCATGCAGGGAGGAGTAAGAACTGGTATGCTGTAAGAAGAATTGGAAGCGGCGTTTCTTACTGTATTCAACTGACTGTCAGTGCTTCTTCTTAGTCAAGGATGCAAGGGCTAAGAATTTGAAATCTGGTTGAATGGAGATACCCTTTTTTTAGCTATATTGAGATTGATTTGCATCCTGAGAGCACCGGTATCTCTCCACAAGCGTGCTGCTAAATTTTATGATCCTATGTTTTAAGACTATCAGAAGTGGACAAAGCCCACAAGACAAATACTTTGCACACAACCCAGATTCTCCACTATCTTACTTTTATTCCTTTAATCTTTATTGCCTTCACAACTGGCTGACTTAATTTGACCCTTTATGGAATGTTGCTGTTAATCCATATGCTTCAGATACACATTACAGCTGCACTCTAATTCACACAGGTTTCGTGTAACTTGAGCATATTTTATGTGGAAATATTTTAGTAACTGTATGTTCTGTAAGTAAACCCGTGTTAATACTTGTTAACTACAGAGTTTATGATACCAATAATACTTCCTACAATAAAATGTTTGTTTGTTTTTTAAGAATGTTTATTTGTAAACATATGTATTCACTATATTAATATGAATTTCTTACCTGGCAATAAAACTGATTCTAAGTGAATCCAACTTGCTGGCTCATTCCTAAACAAGTATCATTGGGCCAAATTTTGAGAATTAACTGAGGTTCTGGAGCTTCTCCCTGCAGCCCGTGGGGTTCACCTCAGCACAACTGAAGGTTTGCCATTGTGAACAAGAAGTTCTTTGGAAAGCAGCCATGTTATATGTATTATATAGGAGCTGCATGATGTTTAAGGTCCTTTCCAACCTTAACCATTGCATGATGCTGTGAGTGCCTGTTAAATGCAAAGTAACATTATATACCCAAGGCATGCAAGCCTTGCAAAGCCTCCTGAGCCCTGCAAGCCTCCAAGCACCACACACATCTTTGTCATTTGGTCAGTTAACTATGGTTTTGAGGAACAAAAATAAAAAGATAAGTATGCACAGGGTCAGATCCAGATCCTCAGTCTAAGGATTGCAAGTGCCCAGATGGAGGAAATGGAACACTGGTGTATACTGCTTCAAAATGGTTGTATGGTCATTACAGAAGAACCTGGACACAACATCTGTGCACCAAGTCTGCTGGAACAAAAAGTCCTTTACAGGCTTTTAGTACTGCTAATGGCTTGGAAACCTGACAGTGAACAGAACCTTGGTGGAGGGTTTGGGCATCTTCTTCCCTTTGCTTTGCTAAAATGATACTGAGAATGAATTTCAGAAGAAGAAACAGAGAATCAGGATACCCAGCTTCAGAATCCCCTTAGTACATGTCCTGGTGCAAATTCTTTAGGCAGTTTATGATTCCTAGGATACCATGACATATTAGCAGAGGGAAAACATAAATTCAAAATTGTTCAGAGTTATCCATTTTAAACAGTAGAAAAATCTCATTTTCAATATATACCTTTATGGGTGCCAGGAAACAGCTCATAAAGGCCCCATTTCTGGTTACAGAAGCATTTTCCTGCCTCAGGTACAACTACAGAAACAACCCTAATCTGCCAGAGGGCTCAGGAGAGACATACAGAGTGTGGTCACAGTGCCAGGAAAGTTCTGGGCAGCTCTGCAACCCACAGGGAAACCTGTGGAACACAAGCCTAATCTGCAGTAGACACAGCTCACTGTTACAGCTCCACCACCAACCCATCTAATGCACATGTTGTTTCTATCAGCAAATTCCTGACTGGAATCACAAATGGCAAAAAGGACAACTGCTTCACTAGTAGAAGTGTCTCTGCATAGGCTTTCGTTCTTCCAGATACATGGAAAAAAAAGAAACCTCCAAAAAGCCCCTCTTGAAGCTGATTTTGTGTTTCTGCATGGTTTTTTCTCTTCTGTTTGCCTGACCCTTCTGTCAGCACGAGCAAGAACTGCACTGGGCGTTTCTTTCATAAGGTTCTTTGATATCAACACAGATACACTGCGCTACAAAGAGAAAAGTGCACTGTCAGGAAATGCTGATGTTCCATACACAGAGCTAGGGAGTCTAAAAGTCCAAAGGCTGTCCAGTTTAAAGCCCTTTACCCTGGAATGTCTGTTCTCATGACTAAATCTTTAGAGCATGATCCTCAGCTTACCAGAACTGAGGATGTGGTGACTTATATAAACAGAGGATCAGGTTTCATGAGATTCCACACTACGAGGTGGCTCCACAACTCAGACTCTAGATTTTAATAGCTCTAGGAAAAGATTCGTGCTTTGCTCTGTTCTTATAGAATGGTTATTGAATTTTGGGTACTAAATAAATAACCCTAGTCCACAAATCCCTTTTGTACACAGTCCTCCACACTTTATTTAATCCTGGTCTCTATACTCGAATACGTGAAGGACTTCCAGTGATAAATATAGTCTTCACTGTAATTATATCATCTTTCTGTTTGGCATAGATAATTTTATTTTTCTAAAAACAGTTATGACAGGAAACATTTTTGTATTAAACTATATAATCTCATATATCATTCACTGCTGAAAATGTGATAATAGGACGAGCTCCACGTTACTAAAGAATGAACATTGTTATTTTTATGAATGGGAAAGTCAGGCAGCTTTAATTCGAAAAGTATCTGTAAACAAAATTCTTGGAATTCACTCATCATGCTTCAGAGATTTCCAGACTTAACTTTTCCTCATCCTGTAAGTGTGTCCTTATACCTGCCAACTTCACCTGGAACATAAGCATTAAACCAGGCCTTTCCTCCCCATCCAGCTGCACTAATGAAAGCCAGGACCAAATTAGGATACTGGTTATATCCCATATCTGCACAAAAGCTGCTGTCAGACAAATGCACCTGATGGATCCAGCAAACACTTCTGCAGAGGATGCACCAGGAAGAAGTTGACACACCCATTCAGCTGCACTGGCCCTATCATGTTAGCAAAGCAGAAGACAGATGTATTTGTCACCAATGACAACACTTTTTGACACTGGAAGATAATAAATCCTGATCCTAGTTCTGGGGATTCTTCCTATGTCAGAATCTGCCAAATAAACAATGCCTGAATGGGCCAGGGCTCCCTGGACAGGCTCTTCTCATCCCACCCCTGCTCTTCCAACAAGAGAATGGTCTTGCTTCAGGAGCAAGGTTTCTCTATTGACTTCTTTTCATTTTTCACCTTCAGAGCTTAGGGACCCTTTCTGGGAAGAGAAACTGTAGATTTAGACTTACTTGAGTCTGAGATAGATTTAAAACTCAAATCTATTACTGCTACTCTTGTTTTACATAACAGAAAAGAATAAGACAGTACTCGTACCTAAGTGCATGAAGCAGCTGTACTGTCTGGTCCCTCATGGATGCATGAAGAGGCTCTGT